AAACCCCATATTTTCTCAGATATCTAGATTAATGTTATTGATTAATTTTTATTAATAAACAATTTTTCTCAAACATTTTCTGATGTAAGGATACAAAAATTTTACGCCATCGTAAAGAGAAAAATAATCTCTATCAAATGAGCCTAAAGAAAGAATACATTGCTATTTAAAAAAATTTAAGTATTATTCTTTACTCATTTGTTTTCTGAATTAAAAACAATTGACTGCAGTCTTATTATGGCAAATAAAATATTAAACAAGTTTTGTATAAAATGTTTTTCTATAAAGTTGATACCTACAAAGATATATACTATATTCCATACATAATGGGCACCCTGTATGACTTTCATATAAAATTAAAGCTTACATTTTTTTCTATAAAATGATGTGGAACAATAAAGAATTTTAAAATTTCTAAAGATATTATATTGAATTATGTGTGTTACACTAACGGTGTTAAATTATAGAAAATTGTTTTAAAATCTTTTAAGATAAGAAACGTCGTAGAAATATTTATTAACAGGTTGTAAAATCTCTATAATTTTCTTGTGACAATCAATCATCTTAAAGTGGCAACGTACAACTGTAACCACTCATTATAACAATATAAAAACGAAAAAATAGATGATAATTTTTTTAAATGTATTATATAAGTTAATTGAATTGGTACAGAAAAAAAAAATATATACATATAAAAAACATTAATTATTTTTCACACCGTTTAATATTACAAACGTAATGAATATGCTAATTCGTAGAATTTATATTGTACGTATGCAAATCGAAAGTGTAAAGCAGCGCTCGAGATATCTTTAAGAAGAAAAGAAAATAAAAAAATTAAAAATAAAATAAGCGGCTGCTGCTCTTAATGTAAGTTGTAACAGGCGACCAAACCTTACGTAATTGAACGCGATTTTACTGGTCTTTTCGAAAAGTACCCAAACGGAAAGTAGATCAACAACATCTATTTTAAATAAAAATATTTTGTAAATACTATTTTAAACAAATTATGTACCACAGAAAGATTCTATATCTCAATTATATACATTCAGAAAAGAAAAAAAATGCACAATTTAAAAAATAAAATTTGATTTTCAAATTTAAATTGTTTTCGAGTTTAAAACGTTTCGGTTTCGGTCTATTGATTTTCGATGCCAAAGACATTATGAAACCAACGATGCGTTAAAACAGCTTTACTACGTACAAGAACCACGATAATGACCTCCTCGACAACGGCATTGGTCAAGTGCACAAGACCATCTTCGAAGACAAGATTAGAAAAGTTGATTTTTTTTTGCCGGATTCCGAAGTTTCAACGTCGCAATATTTTTTTTTCTTAAGAACTGGAAATGCTGGACAACTTGCATTTTTGGAAATTAGAAATAAAGGCGATCCACGTAACATTGTTTTTATCGATCGTTTCCGGTACAATAAAATTTAAATTATTATCAAATTCTAAATTAATAAAAATTTATGTAGTGTAGATAATTTTAAAGTATGCCAAATAGTTTTAGATACATCTCAATCCAAAAATAATCGTGCTGTCTTGAGAGTCTCAACAAACCGCAACAATCAGAATTATAGCTTCTTATCGGTGAAAGTAAAACACCGCTAACATATAGGAGGAATACTTTTGTGAGCTATCCAAGCAGGGCAGAGCTGCCCGGATGTATATAAAAGCCTGTAACATCTGAAACATGTCAGTAGTTTTAGTTTCATAGCGCGAGAAACGTTTTATCGATAGCCCAAGAACACAAACAAAAATTTATTGGGACAAGAAAACATTAAGAACAATAAGAAATGAGGGGATTGGTAAGTTTTTAAAAAATTATTAATAATTATAAAAAATTACATTATTTCTTTTTGATTTATCAGATAGTAATTTTTTTGGCAACAATTTTATCGAAAACAAACTGTTTAGAAGACCCCGATCTTTTGAAACATTGCGGAGATGCAAAAGCTTTAGCCTTAGGATTATCACCATCATCGGGATATTATCAACAACCAATCGTTCAAACATACCAGATAACAGCACCAAAACAAGTACAAATTACAAAAACCATACCATTTTATCCATCATATCAAACAATTTCCCAACAAGATCTTCATTTACCACAAATAACCACAAAAAATGCACAAAGTTATTCTGTAACGGACGGTTTATCAACGTATTCCGATAAAATCACTTTAAACAATTTGATATCAACCCCAAAAATTCAAGAACAAGATGGTTATTTAGATGGATCTGGAAAAGATGGATCTTCTTATGTTGAATATTCTGGGCCAGTTGTTAAAGATTCAACACCGATTTATGTAAAAAGTTATGGATCAAATTATGGATCTGAGTATTCCGCGTTAAATTATCACAAACCCCAATCGATTTCTTTAATCCCAACGAAAGTTGTTGATTTAAATTCAATTGGAACCGATTCTAATCTTTATGAACATGGATATCAAAATTCTAATGGTGGGAAATCAAATTCCTACAACATCAATCTTAGAAAATCAAGTGGATTGGTACAAGTTGGAGGATTAGGAAGTTATGGAGGAAATTATGGAAATAATTACGGAGGAAATTATGGAGTTGGTTTAGAATATTCTGGAAATGGCAAATCAACATCATACAGCATCTCTAATTTGAAAATTGGAAAATCAAATGGGCTTCAATTGGGAACTGGAGGTCATAATCTTGGCAATACCGGAGGAAATTATGGCGCAAACTATGTAGGAAATTATGGCGGATATTATGGAGGAGGATTAGGTTATACAGTTGATGTTGGAAAAGATTTATCTTCCGGAATTGGTAAAGCAACATCTTACAGCGTTTCAAATTTGAAAATTGAAAAATCTAATCATTTGGGAGGAGGACCACAAAGTTATGGCAGTTATGGAAAAAGTTTTGGAAGTCATTCCGGAGGAAGCCCCATAATAAATAATATAGGAATACTTGGAGGATCTTCTGAATTAAGCACAGGAAGTCATTCTGGGGGGAATTATCTAAGAGCTAATATTGGGACTAATTCTGGTCCTACAGGAGGAAATTACCTAAAAAATCTTGCTGGAGATTATAAATCAAGCTACGGACTCGGGGATTACGCCGAAAACTCAAAATATTTATCTGGCGGAGGAAAAGCAACTTCTTACAGCGTATCTAACTTAAAAATTGAAAAAACTGGATTAAAAGGTATCGGAGGAAGTTACGGATCTGGAAATAATTATTACGAAGGTAATAACGATATTCAGCTACAAAATGGCAGTGGAAAAGGAAAAGTTTTATTAAAAAACAATGGTTACTACGTAAGTAATTTTTTTGATTCTCATAATGAAATGTTAAGCGCCGGATTTCGCACCGTTAACTTTTAACGATCAACAAATTCGGTCGCGGCATAACGAAAAAATTCCATTAAGCCCGTCATGTCAATTTATCGAAGAAGAGAGTAAAGTACGGTAGCCCGAGCGATAAAAAAGTAAAAGTTCGAAACACGTGTGAAATTAACGATTATCTTATTATTTAAGATAACCGCGTTTTAATGAACGCGGGGAAAACGGCTTTTTATAAAACCCTTAATTTACAATTACATCGTTGTATTTCGACGTTTACGATCCATTAAAATAATTTAAGATTTTTTTTGAAATTCCCGCTTTATAATTGAGTTTATTTAGTATCAAGCCTCCGTGGCGCAATTGGTTAGCGCGTTCGGCTGTTAACCGAAAGGTTGGTGGTTCGAGCCCACCCGGGGGCGTTATTTTTTTTTTATTTTGAGAAATTATTTTTTTTTAGGATGCCCATCCAAAATATGCATTTGAATATTCCGTTCATGACACCCACACGGGTGATATAAAGGAGCAAAAAGAACAAAGGGATGGCGATGTTGTTAAGGGACAATATTCTCTTGTTGAACCGGATGGAAATGTAAGAACCGTAACTTATCAAGCCGATTGGGAAACTGGATTTCACGCTCAAGTACACAACTCAAAGAAAAATTAATTTTTTAACTTACTTTTTTAATAACATTCTTTTTATCACTAGTCTAAGAATTTTTTACGCTACATTTTTCGGTTGGAAAAAGAATTAACTTTAAATGTGATATGTTGTATATTGTGTTGTATTAAATAAAGCTTTTTTTATTTTTTTTAAATAATAATGGAATTTTTTAATAATCTAATCCAATAAACACCCAAAAGAGTCGGTTAAAGTGAAAGTATCCCGGAGTGGTTCTATTACGAACTGCGATACGTAACTTGTACTAAATAGAAAGTGATCTAGATCGAAAGCACGAAATAATTAATATTTCCTGCTCTCAGAATCGGTTCTATTATGAATTGATCGTTAAAACTGCATTCCACATTAATAAAGTAGGAAATTTAAAAAGCCCGCTTACAATAAAAATGTGCCATCTCACGGCAACTTTAAGAACTAAAAAGTATTGTGTGAATAAAGTTGATTAAAAATTCGGATTTGGTTTTAATTTTATAAATTTTTTGGTGCATAAATATATATTTATAAGAAAAGGTTATATTTAAAAATTTACAGTTTATTCCTTTTTTAAATTTAAGTAAGGTTATGTGATTGTCATTAAACTGTCAAATCTAAAAACAGGCATCTGTAACCTCAACTAATATGTAACTAACTGATATCTACGGCCTAAAACCATTAAAATAAATTAACAGTGTTATTAACATAATAATATAATTAATAAAACATATCCCAAATGGAATTTAAAATATAAATATTGTTCCTTACAATTGGAGTTATTGGAGAAATCTGTCTTCCAGTTAATATGAAAAAATCGTCAATTTTTAGGCGACACTAGGGCTTCGCCCACGGGCAACCTTGGTTAATGATTTCAATTTTCAGCTTTTGTATTTTCCTTGTTTATAATAATACTTTAGTTACTTATGTAATTATTTATTGTATTCCAAAGTTATGAACTATTGTTAGTAAGAACTTGGAAATTGCAAGCTGATCCATGTCATGCCAAACGCATTTTCCCGTAATATTTATAATTAGGCATCCTGTCCTGAATAAACCGAAACGATCATCTGCCGGACCTGATAATATTCCATATGAATTCCTTACCAATTTAACATGCGATGCAAAAACGTTCTTGTTAAATCTATATAATCGTATTTGGAGTAGTGGTACTTATCCTAATAACTGGAAAAAGGCCATAGTAGTTCCGTTGCTTAAAGAAAATAAAGACCCCACATTATCTAACAGTTACCGTCCTATAAGCTTAACGTGTTGCATTGGTAAAATACTAGAGAAAATGGTGAGCTATAGGTTGATGCATATAGTAGAACAGGAAAACCTACTTTCTAACTTCCAATTTGGATACAGACAAGGTCGCTCCACAATTGATAGTATTGTTTTGCTTGAGAATGCTATTCAGGAAGCCTTTCTACAAAAACAGGTTTTGGTAGCGGTGTTTTTTGACTTAGAAAAAGCATATGACATGACATGGCGCCATGGAATAATGGTTCAATTGCACAGCTGGGGTTTACGTGGCATTTTGCCTATGTTTATTCAATCATTTCTTTCGGACCGTTCCTTTTGTGTCAGAGTGGGGAATGGGATCTCATCGGAGCATTTGTTGGAAAATGGCGTTCCTCAGGGTTCTACTTTAAGCGTGGCCCTTTTTCTCATTGCTATGAATGGTGTAATATCCAATCTTAACCCAGAAATAGGAAGATCTTTATACGTGGATGACCTTTGTATATATTTGAAAGGATCCACAGTACAACAACTTAATAATTCACTTCAGCCTGCCATCAACACTATATTAGAGAACACTATATCGATTGGTTATAAGGTATCTGTGCAAAAAACAAAGTGTGTTCTATTCTCTAGACGATATCGTCATCAAGAAAATCCCTCTTTGTATTTACAAAGTATCCGTATTGGTGTTGTTCCTGAAATTAAATTCTTAGGGATGATATTCGATGCCAAGTTACGATGGCAGAGCCATATTCAGTACATTATTTCGCGTTGTCGGAAATCATTAAATCTACTGCGCGTTTTATCTGGTACAAGGTGGGGGGCTGATACTACAGTGCTGAAGATGTTGTATAAAAGTGTGATATTGCCTGTTATTGATTATGGTAGTGTGGTGTATTCCTCTGCAAGAATAACCGTACTCAAAAAACTTAATGTAATACACAATCTTGCAATACGGTACATACTTGGGGCTTTTCCCACTAGTCCGGTTCATAGTTTGTATTGTGAGTCTGGTATTGCTCCTCTTCACCATCGGCGTAATTGGCAAATTCTTAATTATTTTGTAAAAAAACGCATACAACCTAAGCACCCAATCTCTATATTGTTTTCCCAACAGCCACCTGTCTACAGATTAACAGCCACAAGACCGGCAATAGTAAGAGCCAAAGAACTGCTGGGAATTTTAGATTTTACGATGCCCTGCACTTTCTTTATGCAGTATCGAATTTACTCCTTGGCAGTTAAATAAACCCGTTTTCAATTTAAATCTTACATGCTATGCTAAAGAGAGTACACCACGGGAATTACTTAGAGCTGAATTTAGAAATATAATCAATGCCTATGATGATGCTGTTTTTATCTATACTGATGGTTCCAAAAAGGAGAGTGGGGTTGGTTTCGCGTTTGTGGTTGGGGATAGTGATTATTCATGAAGCTTACAGAGTTTTGCGTCTATCTTCTTTGCGGAGTTGTATGCCATCTTTCAGGCTCTGTTATTCATCCGTATGAGTCATAATGGAAATAACTTTGTCATAGTTACAGACTCGGTGAGTGCTCTTAAATCATTACAAGCAATGTGTCCAAATGAACCGATGGTACGGATGGTTGGAGAATTGTTACATGTTATCTTGCTTTCTGGAAAACAGATCGTATTTATATGGGTGCCCGGTCATATCGGCATTGAGGGTAATGAAAGGGCAGATAAAGCAGCAGGACACGGGGTTGACGGTAACAGTGTTGACGTCAGTGTATGTCGTCATAAGGCATCTTAAATCGCTGGTATATAACAAGTGGCAGAATGACTGGCAACACAATGAAAGTTTTCTACGCCGTATCAAACCCTTAATAAAACCTTGGAATCAGCCCATTATCTTCAATAGATTAGAACAGGTGAAACTAGCGAGATTACATATAGGACATACACAACTAACTTCCGGTTATTTGTTAAAACGAGAACCAAGACCTGTATGTTTGGGCTGCGAAGTTCATCTCACGGTAATGCATATCCTGCTAGACTGAATTATATGCCAACGAGAGACAATTACATAATATCTCATGTCTGGATGATGCATACGCGAATCCTGTTAATTTGATTGAATTTTTTAAGTGCATTGATTTGTTCCATCAATTATAAATACGGTGAGCGCTAAAGATCTTCGCTATCGAAGCGCTTCTAATATCAATAATAATAATAATAATATAATTAGGCATCCATTTTAAAAGAAATTTCTTTATTATACAACAAATAATTAAATTAACAATCATTTTAAAAGGCTTTTTAAAGATATTTTTGATAAAATATCACCACATCGAGCATTAATTTTGTTTAAATTCAATTTATCAGCCCTCGTTTCGCCTATATTAACAATAACAATCTCCTTTTTCTCTTCTAACGCTTGTAAAATAATTCTAAACCCTGAGTAAACGAATAAACTCGACCCTAAAACCAAAACTGAATCACTTTCCTTCAAAAAATTATTCACCGCTTCAACTCTCCGTTTCGGTACGTTATCGCCAAAAAATACAATATCCGGTTTTAACAAGCCGTTACAATGCGTACAAGTTGGCATAACAAATTTATTTACGGTTTCCTAAAAACAAATTAAATTATTATTTTGCTTTATTATAAATAAAAGTCATTTACATCTGAAATATCAACATCTCCATCGGGTCGAATCATATTTGATGTGTCTTCGATAAAAGGATTAATTTTTAAAATTTCTTGTTGCAAATCATGTCGAGAATAAATTTTTTCACAATTTAAACAAAAAACGCGATAAGAAGACCCATGTAGTTCAATTAATTTTCCAGTTCCAGCTTTTGTATGCAAACCGTCGACGTTTTGTGTGACAACGCAAGAAATTTTATCGATTAATTCCAAATCGCGTACCCAAAAATGCGTTGAATTCGGTTTACAATTTGAAAACCTCGGCCATCCAACGAAATTTCTCGCCCAATATCTTTTTCGTATAGATGGAGATGTTAGAAATTGTTGGTGTTGAATCGGTTTGTGATTCGATCGAGCATATAAACCAACTTTTTCCGATCTATAATCAGGTATTCCTTAATTTTCATATTATATTTATTCATCAATTTAAAAAATGTGCCTACCTGATTCAGTTGAAATACCCGCTCCTGTTAAAACTAAGATATTCGTGGATGATTTTAAAAATTCTTTTAAAAATTCCACGTCATTTTCCCTTGTTATTTGATGATTCGGGACGAAGTTATATAAATTCCGTATCAAAACATTTAATTTTATGGTTATTTTTGGATTTATTAAGGCAAAATTACAGCAATGTAACATTTTAACTCCTAAAAATAACAAAAATTAAAAATAGAAACTTTATTTAAAAAAAAAACATTCTCTAAAAATAAATTTATAATAGTTCAAAATAATCAACAGGTTTTCTTCCAAATAAATCCTCAATATCAATATTAGCCCCGAATTTTTTAAGAATATCAAACGTGGTTTTTCTTTGTGCCTTTGCGGCAAAGTGAGCAGGTGTTAAACCCAAAACACTCTTTAAATCTAAATTCACCTTTAATTTTACAATAACATATTCAACAACTTCATCAGGACACTTGTATGCCGCCAAATGTAAAATACCTAATCCGGTACTGTTAGTTGTATTAATATCAGCTTTATTTTCGATCAAATATGAAATGATCTCAAAATTTCCGCTTAAAACTGCGTCATGAATCGGACTGTTACCACAACCATCTTTTAAATTAACATCTATTTTTGAATTTTTTATTAGTTTATCAACAATTTCAAAGTTACCGTGAAGACAAGCTATGTGTAAAGCGGAACGTCCGTTTTTCGTTATTATATTTAAATCTAAATTAAAATTCATTATAAGTTCTAGAATTTCCAAATTTCCTTCACGTGAAACTAAATGTAACGTTGTCCAACCATCTTTATTTTGAAAATTAACATTAGCCCCATTTTCAACTAATAATCTTATTGTTTCTTTGGCTTCTGTTGTTGTTTTCGTACATGCTAACATTAAAGGCGTCCAATCAGCCCTTTTTAATGCATCCACTTCAACGTTTAAACTCAATAAATATTTTGTGACTTCGTAATGAGAATTATGAGCAGCATCATGTAATGGAGTTTTTCCAATGTAATTTCTAGGTTCAATTACGATTATTTTGAAACTCTCCAAAAGGTATCTAACAGCGTTTAAAGCCCCAATTTTACAAGCAATGTGTAATAAAGTATCCCCAGTTTTTTCGCAAGTTAATTTCGTCCAATGGAAATCCGGATAGTCTTGTTTTAATGATTTTAACGTTTCAAACTCACCTCTATTAATTTCTTTTAAGATTTTTTGACGATCTTGTTTTAACCTTTGTTGAAACATTTTTTACAAACCGAACATTTTCTTTTGAGGTTAAGTTATCTAAAACAATATAAAATTTTTGTGATGAAAATAGGAGATTAATAATTCGCTTATACGTAATAATTACGATTTTATTGTCCAAAATGAGAATGTTATCAATTTGTTTGGTTAATTTTTGCAAATTCTTTTTGTTAAGTTGACAGGGTTGACAGATGGTGGTTGTTTTTGCCATCTATGAACAAAATGATCAATGAAAGTATGACTTTCAAGATTTTTTTGGAAATTGGATTAATGTGGTATATTCAAAAAAGATTGTTATAATGTAATAGATGATAGAGAGTCGAAAAGGCAAGCGAGTTAACAAAAAAATCTGAAAATATTTAAAAACTTAATCTTTGATAATTATGAAAAGCACCATCTATTATGTTATTGTTTTATTACAAATTTATTTGAGTAATTTCTTTTAAATAAATTTAACTTTAATAAGCTTCCATGAATCATTAAGTTTATTTCACGAAATAAATTTATCTAATCTCAATAATAATAATGATTTAGGAAATCGTCTTAATCCGAATCATTGTTTATTGTTGTTTATAGAGTATTCTATTCTCTATAAACAAAGTCCGAATGTATTTATGTAGTTCTACAAATAAGTAAGAGATGTCACTATTAAATTTAAAATTTTAAAATGATTTTTATTTACACCTCATTTAATAAAAATAATAAATATAAAAATTAAGACAAACATGTCTTTAAATCATGTTATGATACGCGTTATACGGCAAAAATAAATCTTTTGTAATGTATCCAACTGGTTTTGCCAATATAATGGGATTTTTAAGATATTGCGGGAATTTTAAATGTCCCATTATAGGTGGTCCTAAAAAATGAAAACGTTTTAGATGTTTTAAACGTTTTTGTTTCTATTACCTGGTGGTCTTCTATAATTAATTACGGCCCTAAAACCTTTTGGTCCAGCGACTTCGTATTCAACAATACGAATTCTTCCATCATGTTCTAAGAGGCTGTAACTTCCCCGAACTAAATCACCGTTTCTTTCCTCGAAATGATGCGTTCGTAAACCAATATTTCCTTGATCGATTGCATATTTGAAAGAATAGACTACCTAAAATGATAAAATTAGAACAAGATAAGTCTAATAATTATTATTATCCTCGATAAAATGGAAAAACAGAAACGTTTTTATAACAAGGTTAACGATTAAAAATAAATACCGTTAAAACGGTTTTATTTAACAATAGCGAAGAAATAAAGTTATTATGCTTTATAAAGATACAAAAAAAGATTGCGATATAATAATAATAATACAATAATTCTCCCATTCATTTTCGTAAAGAGGATACCTTGTTATTAAAGTTGCTCAAACTCTGATATTATATTATGATAACTTTGTTTTTAGTTTTAAACCAATAATTTTAAATTTATTAAATAATAAAGTACTTACATCGTTTGGATTCTCGCAAAAATTCCGCTTAACACAAAAAATGATTATTGCTAAAACGATGAGACCCTATAAAAAAATAAATAATTTTAATCAATCTTTCTTTTTATTAAAGCGAATTACGATCGAAATTGATGCCAATCAACTTGTTGCTTTTACATTCCTTAAAAGGGAAGGCAAAAACGATAAAGAGAAAATCGAGACACTCCTAAATTTTTTTTAATTGATGAGTTCTGTATCCAAGAGTGGATCATATCGATCTGTTTCATTTGGAAAATTTAAAATTGAACCGTAATAAGACTAATAAAAACTTATTTACACTTCTTGTGTAACCTTTTTTAATGAGCTTAAAGAAATAAAAAGTGAACCTATTGTTGTGTCTTAATGAACTTTACAATCTATAAAAATAATATTTTATGTAACAAAAAGTATTATGAAAGATAATATTTATAATCAAAATTTTCAAAATTAACTCACATAAAAATAATGATTGATATTAATTAAACTTACCAATTTATTGAAGGTTTTCAAAAACATTATTGACCTTCGTTATAATAGTCGATGGTAAAATAAATCAATAGGTTACTTTTCCAAGAACTATTAATGTGTAATTAATTGATCGATGAATGTTGTCACGGATCACTTAAGATGTGGTCACGGGACATGTTTGCTATCGTTCGTTAAGAAAACAGGCGTTAGATTGTGGGTAGAATAGGAATCTGGTACATTCTCCGGGTGATTTGAGCTGGTGCGTTGAGGATGCTCTTCTTCTTCTAATACTGGGTGGGAAGGGACTCCTCTCATCGCCGATTGAGAGTGCATTACGTTGTTGTGCAATATGAATGGGACGTAAATCTTAAACAATATTAACTAGAAGTAAAAAAATTTGTTATTGTTAAAAAAATTTTTAAATAGACGAAGAAATTTGTTGTTTGAAGCACGATGAAAATAAAACGACGTGAGTGGTCGAATAGATAAGGATGGGTTTTAAGTTTTAAAAGTAAATGATCACGTGTTATACGTCTCCGAGATGATCTGACTTACTTTCATTCACCTTCAGTTTAACTGATGCTTGAAATCTAGTTTTGCAACATCACGTCACTTTTATCTTGATCCCAGATGAAAATTGGAGCATATATCACTTTCAAAATCCTTCAACTAACGATTTTATTGTTAAATTTTATTTAAATTTGTTCAAATAAAACAATAATTTTTTATTAATTCAAAAATAACTCCTAAAACTTAGGCAACCAATACAACAGTGAATATTTATTATAATCGTTTATATGCTTATTAAAGTTTTTATAAGACACATTTTTAGTGTTTAATACATTTTTTGGGGCAGTAATTCTTAAAGATTAATTAAAATTACTTGATGACCTTGCATGTAGCGAAACACGTTCTCGAAATTACCAAAGAATCTTGTATTATATCCGATTATAGGAGCGCCTTGGAGAAACGATTAAGAATGTCAATAACATCGGGTTTAAGACATCTTTCTAAGCAGTCTTTAAAAGTCATCGTATTATCAACGGTAATAATCGAAATATCTTATATAGAAGCAATAATTCAATAAAAAATACGTTGTCCGATTCAACCTTACATATGACATTGAACATAAAGACTAAAGACAAATAAAGTCGTTGATCTGAATTTTAAAAACGATCTTTTAGGTATTTGCATACAAAGGTAAAAAAAATTTGTTAGAATTTGGTTTCATGGTCAAACTTTTTTTAAGACTTCTTAACTTCCTTTTTTGTCAATTTTATCAAGAAAAATTTAAAACACAATATAACACGGACTAATACGGTGAAGAAAATGTCCGTTATAGCCAAGTCACATTTAAATTAACATTAAATATCATTAAACAGTATGTAGTCGTCTGCAAACAGTACTTAGTCTCCTGCACGCAGTATTTAATCTAATACAAGTAGACAGCTTTCTGCAAGCACGGCTAAACTCGAAACTTTTTAGTTCTACGTCTAGTGTTAGTTTTAGACCTAGAACTAGAGAGTTTATCTATAAGCATGTATAATAGAACAACTTTCTTATCAGAAAATAGTTTTAAACACCCGCACTTTATTACAAACACGAAGAAACTTTCTTGTTAATACAAATTTTACAACCTTCGTGTATTAATCAACGACATTTGCGTTTCCTTATCGGTATCAATTAAACTTACATTTCGAAGGGGACTTAAGGATTTAACTTTAATGTGTTAAATTGCAAAAATGGTTACGTCACTGTTGAATAAAGAAAAAAAAATCTCTGCGTGTGTAGTAGCATCATTGGCTATTATATGTAAATCTAAACTACCCAAGTAATGGTTTATTTATAGGTTATTATGAAACCGAGAAAATCAGATAAAAAGAATAATGTGAAATAAGAATAAAGAAATTTGAAACTAACATAAACAGACCTAATAAATATTGTTATTATTTAGTAAACGGATGAAATAAAGGAAGTGAAAGTAAAAGTAATAATGAAGATGTCTTTTGTTGGTGATGGTAGTTATTATTTAATTATTGATTTAAATCACAGGGAGATAGAGTGTAAATTTTTATTTTTTAGATGTCTTATTAATTTATAAAAAGTTATCAAATATTAACAATCTCTCTTCTCTAATAAGCGAGGAAAAGGATTGGAGAGGTTTAAACAAAAAATAAATTGAAAATAAGATTTGAACAAGAAATCAACTTCCTTTCAATACGAAATAGTTACTTAAAAAAAAATTGTTCAAGTTTTCGCTAGCACCTCTTTTTATTATCACTTCAAAAAAGTTAACAACTTCCACATTGTTGCGATGTAATAACATTTTTTTCTTCTGTTACGTAACCGTTTAAACGTTTGAAATGTGAAGTTTACGTTTCATGATAAAATTGTTGTTCATCAATTTGGATCGAAACTGCGACCAACAGCGCGCGGGTGAAAGTAATAACACATAATGGCATGCAATTTGGTTTGTAGAAGTGCTATCCACGTAAAGAAAAAACGAGAAGCAAAAGTGATTGACGACGAGGAATTTTGTATAAGTCGAATCGACAGAATAAATTCCTAAGAGAAGCGTGCTCTTTAAATTAAATTAAATTCTAAAAAAAGTATTAGAACTTTTTTTATCTTTATTTAATAACAATGTAAAAGAGGATACAGGAGTCGTAATAAAGCTTATTAAGCCGTAAGCTTTATTAGGATTCCGGTATTTGTATTACCCTCTCATGTCATACAAATATTTCTGTTGTAGTGTTATTGGACTTCCGTGCCTGCAATGGTAGTCATGGCACTTTGGTGCAAGTTTTAGCTGTGTCATCGAATGGATGAATTGCAATTTTTACCTACTTTCGAGGACGCCTCCTAGAGGACGTTGTACGATGGCGCAGATAGCGAAGAAGAAGATGTTACAGCCATATGAAGAAAATGGGCAAGCAGAGACTACCGCGTATAGCACTGGAGGGAAAATCAGCAAAAAGCCATCCACAAGGAGAACCAACAAAAAGATGGCAAGACATTACATTAACATAAATTACATATCGCGTAGGCGGACCAACCAACCTTGCAACGAACATTAATACCTTGCTCGGTGAAAAGTCATTCAGATAATTTGGGAACATAAACTGCGACCCAAAAATCGAGCATCTGATACGATTAACAGCAGGGCAGTGGCATAAAACATGCTCAACCGTCTCCTCGTCCTCTGCACATACTCGGCATTCAACATCGACGGCTAGAGCAAGTCAATCAAAATTCGAAAACACAATTCAAAATTAGCAGACCGGCAAGTCTAAGAGAAACAAGAAGAAGAAGAAAAATCGTCAGAAAAGAACACCTTTATTTTCCATTGAAGACTTAACAATAGCTTAACAATGACCAATCATCCAGATAGAGTCATTTTAAAGATTAATTTAAGATATAATTATTTTCTAAACATTCATATACAGGGTGTCTCAGCGAGACCGGTCATTAGACGTTTCTGGGGTTCTGGCGAAAATAAAAATTTGAGAATTCAGACTTAAGTATCATCAATTACGATCTCTTCGTCTAAAATATTTTCAGATTTCNTACCACTGTATAGGCACGTATAGGCTATCTTTTATTCTGACTGTATCGAACCAGTGACGTCAATTTGCGGGGTAATAATCGGTACTACAGAGGCATAGGGAATGAGGTAACCTTATGTTCTGCAAACCTTGCTACCGCATATAGCAATGGAGGGAAAACCAGCAGAAAGCCATCCACAAGGAGAACTAACAAAAAAATGGCAAGACATTACATTAACATAAATTACATATCGCGTAGGTGGACCAACCAACCTTGCAACGAACTTTAATACCTTGCTCGGTGAAAAGTCATTCAGATAATTTGGGGACATAAACTGCGACTCAAAAATCGAGCATCTGATACAATTAACAGCAGGGCAGTGGCATAAAACATGCTCACCCGTCTTCTCGTCCTCTGCACATAGTCGGCATTCAACATCGACGGCTAAAGCAAGTCAATCAAAATTCGAAAACACAATTCAAAATTAAAAGACCGGCAAGTCTAAGAGAAACAAGAAGAAGAAGAAAAATCGTCAGAATTGTATGCCAGTTCTTACATTCCAGCAGCGTAGTTGACCAAAATCTTACGAAAACTTAACAATAGCTTAACAATGACCAATGATCATCTATTTCAAGGTTCATCATCCAGATAGAGTGAGTTATTTTAAAGATTAATTTAAGATATAATTATTTTCTAAACATTCATATACAGGGTGTCTCAGCGAGACCGGTCATTAGACGTTTCTGTGGTTCTGGCCAAAATAAAAAATTGAGAATTCAGACTTAAGTATTATCAATTACGTTCTCTTCGTCTAAAATACTTTCAGATTTCTAGCACTTCCGGTTATACCGGAAGTTGCCACCTACTTTATTTTTTTAAATGGAACACCCTGTATATTTTTACATATTTGGATTTGTCTGTTTTCAAGGTTTATAAATAACTTTACTTTTTGCAATTTGATTCGGTCGTTCTCGAGTTATTCGATTTTTTCTAGAAAAATCTGCTCCAGCGGACATTTGTTCAAAAAATCATAGAACACTCGATTTTTGAGATATCAATTTAGGATTCAGGACATGCTTAAACAACATGATGGAGTATGTTTTGGTGCCAAGAACGGCTGTCTAAATCGTTTGGTCACTTTACTATGACACGTTAACTTTTCGAAATTTGGAACTATCATAACTTCATTTTTTTAAATGGCACCCCCCATATTTTATTACTTAGTCGTCTTCGGCGTCTCATTTTACATCTTTTATACTACATATGTCCTATGCCTAACATTAATAGTTTGAGAAATAATTAGGGTTTTTTGAAAAATGCACACATATCATATGGATATTTAGCCTGAGTGTTCTCTGATTTTTTGGACAAATGTCTGCTGGAGCAGATTTTTCTAGAAAAATTCGAATAACAAGAGAACGGCCGAATCAAATTGCAAAAAGTGAACTTATTTATAAACCATGAAAACAGACAAATCCAAATATGTAAAAATATACAGGGTGTTCCATTTAAAAAAATTAAGTAGGTGGCGACTGCCGGTGTAACCGGAAGTGCAAGAAATCTGATAATACTTAAGTCTGAATTCTCAAATTTTTATTTTCGCCTAATGACGTCTAATGACCGGTCTCGCTGAGACACCCTGTATAAATCTATCAGAAATGATTAAGTATACAAATCAAAAGAAAGTGATTAATTTATCTTTAGAATAAAAACCTGTCACGTTCATGTTAAACATAATTACAACAGAAGCAAAGAAATAACATAACCACTCATCTTACCCATTTTAGAATTGCATACACACCTCTTCAATTAGCATATTGATACGAATTTAGCTATTC